TGTGAAGAAGCAGGAAATCAAAAGGAAGTCACCTTGTGGTAAACCTGAGAGAGAAAAAGAGTTTGAGCTCCATCCTGTTCCAGAGAGAATCCTTGATCAAATCAAATCAAGTTTTATTTATATAGCACATTTTAAAAACGAGCCAAAGTGCTGTTCATGCAATAAACACACTTTACTGCGATAGCAAACAGAAGACAATAAACTCCAACAGCAAAAATAAAAAAACACACAGGGAAAAGTCAGGAGTCGTGCTCCGCTGTGACTGGAAGGCCAGAGAGAAGAAGTGTGTTTTAAGAGCCGACCTCACATGGAGGGGCAGAATGTTCCAGAGCCTGGGGCCAGCCGCTGCGAAAGCTCGATGCCCTCGGGTTTTGAGCCTGGTCTTAGGCACTATCAGCAGCAGCTGATCAGCCGGCCTTAAGGCTCTGGGGTGTAGCGATGGAGGAGTTCGGCTATATAAGAGGAGCCAGCCCATTTAGGGCTTTGAAAACAAATAAAAGGAGTTTAAAATCTATTCTGAACCGAACTGGAAGCCAGTGCAGTGAGGCCAGAATTGGGGTGATGTGTTCACGCTTTTTTTTAATGTGGTTTGGAACATGATGTGGAGTTTCATCACGGCAGCATTTAGCTGAGTTTCTGCTGGGAGAGTTCTCCTGATGAGATCTACTCTCTCTCTGAAGGCCGCTACACACCAACCTGAGACCAGGCTGAAGTCCAATAGTCCATTTAGCTTAGGAACCTTCCTAACCTTCCTCCATGATAAGAGCCGTTCCAATTCTCCAAATGAAAGGAAAGGAGGTTTCAAACTTCCTTTATAACCTCCTTTAGCTTAGGAACCACTGGACCTCCCTAACCGAGAGGAGAGGAGAAAATGCTGCCCCACAATGCATTGCAGCCGCAGCATTTGCCGTCACACAACAGTCGGCCGTTCACGGAAACAACCGATTATGACGGAGAAATGATATCATGAAAGTTACGGTGCTCATTAAGCTAAACGTAGGTGGTAAGTTGCCAAAGTGCTTTGTTCTGAACGTTCATCAGTATTATAATCAAAGAGAGAAATATGAACGTTAGTTTTTACTGAAATGATCAAATAAAGTCAACATCTCAGTCTTTACTGAGCTGTGGGGTTTGTTCAACTTTTAAAAGATGTTTGAATGGTGATATACACAGAGATAGATGTTAAGGACTAACGTTTATAATAAATACATCTGTATTGATTTAAGATCTTTTCATCAATCATACGTATTGGGATCATTTGTATTAATGTGGACCGGAGGGAGAGGGGGACGAGCAGAAGCTTCACTTTCCTTTGTATTTCAATTCCAGCTTTGGTCCTGAAGAATCTGTTTCTCTGTTGTCCCCGTTCATAAAGCCTAAAGCAACAGCATCAGAGCACAGAGTCTCTAGATGAGTTCACAGGAGTCCCTCGTTCTTATTGAACATCCATGTTGTAGTCCGCTGTATAGAGAACTGTAGTTTCCATAGTTTCCCCACAGCAGCAGACGCTCATTCAGGACGTCCGCTGGCGCATCAGAAACACGTCGGAGAGTGAAAGTGCAGTCGATTCTCTAAAGTACCGCGGTCTCTCCTCCTAAGTCCTTTTAAATTCTCCTATCCACTATCCCTTAACCCCGTGACCTTTCACTCAGAGGTCAAGGAATAGGAGATAGGGTTAGATGTTAGGAGCTGATTTTTGGATTATCGGAATACAACCCTGGTATAATCTAGGTATGAAACAGTACACCTGTGATGCAGTGACGGTGTGTGTCTCCTCCCCAGCGGGCAGCCCATCCCTCGCATCGAGTACACCCCGGAGGAGGTGAGGACGTGGGGGGTGGTGTTCAGAGAGCTCAGCCAGCTGTACCCCTCCCATGCCTGCAGAGAGCACCTGAAGAACCTGCCTCTGCTGGAGAAACACTGCGGATACAGACAGGACAACATCCCCCAGCTGCAGGACGTCTCCCAGTTCCTCAGAGGTCTGCATCATCATCATCACGCCAACATCATCATCATCATCATCGTCGTCATCATCGTCGTCATCATCGTCGTCATCATCGTCGTCATCATCGTCGTCGTCATCATCGTCGTCATCGTCGTCATCATCATCGTCGTCATCGTCGTCGTCATCATCGTCGTCATCATCGTCATCATCATCATCACAAAGGTATCCCAACTGTAGCTGTGTACATGACATGATAGGCGCATTCACACCGCAGTACTTTTCCCACAAAGGTTCATGAGAACTTAGTGCATGAGAACTCTTTAGTTCTCATGCACTAAGTACAGATCGCGTTCACACCGGAATAAGTCCCTGGGGGTGGATTAGGCAAATGAAGCCGCTGACGTCACTTCTTCTTCTTCTGCTTTGGGTTTACTGGCAGGCCGCAAACCACTTCACGGCGTATACTGCCGCCCGGAGTCCCCGGCCGGAAGTCCCCGGAGTTGGGGAAGGCTTCAGTAGAAGCTGCTGGGACTCCCAGCAGCTTCTACTGAAGCCTTCCGAGTAAATCGCCAGAACGCCGACACCTCCTCATCTCCACCGCTCCCATATTTTATTTTGTGTTGCCATAAATTAGTCTCTCTGCGTTTCTGCGCTGGGCTAATGCTTATGCTAATGCAAGGATAATAAAATGGCGGCTTCGCAAAACGTTTTGGGAGTTTTACGGGGCGTGGTTTGCAATCCGCCCAGCCAATCAGACACAGGAACCTTTTTCTCCCACGAGAAACGGGACGGAAAAGGTTCTCATTAGGCGCATTCACACCGCAGTACTTTTCCCACAAAGGTTCATGAGAACTTAGTTCATGAGAACCTTTTTACCCCCACGAAAGTCCCTGCTAGAGAGCAGGGACTTTCGTGGGAGAAAAAGGTTCCTATGTCTGATTGGCTGGGCGGATTCCCAGCAGCTTCAGTAGAAGCTGCTGGGAGTCCGCCCAGTCCGCCCAGCAGCTTCTACTGAAGCCAGTCCCCAACTCCGGGGACTTCCGGCCGGGGACTCCGGGTGGCAGTATACGCCGTGAAGTGGTTTGCGGCCTGCCAGTAAACCCAAAGCAGAAGAAGAAGAAGTGACGTCAGCAGCATCATTTGCCTAATCCACCCTCAGGGACTTATTCCGGTGTGAACGCGATCTGTACTTAGTTCATGAGAACTAAAGAGTTCTCATGAACTAAGTTCTCATGAACCTTTGTGGGAAAAGTACTGCGGTGTGAACGCGCCTATTGACTCATTTTAGTTCCTTTTTTTTTTGGTGTGAACGCAACATTTCGGAACTAAAGTGGGAAAAGTACTGCGGTGTGAACGCGCCTCAGGATGTGTGATTACCTAGAAGAGCATCAGGACTGTTTGAGGCAGATGATAGCTATGTGATTAACATGATGATTCAGCCTCTATGGAGAGAGACATCAAGCATGCTCATTTCTGACGTGGAGCTAATCTGAAGTAAACATTGAATACTGCTTTCTATTCCTCCATCTTGTGACTGTGTAACTCCCTCTCTTGATATCAGCATGTGAAGGACACTGTTCAGGAACTAGTTGATGCTCTGTATGTGATGACTCCTTCCATTCTGGAGAGGATCACAGACACATGGATCCTGAGACTGAAGCTCAAGCCGGGGACCAGGGAGAGTTAACATTTAAGTATTCAGAAAAAGTCAGAATTTTGAGATTTTTAGAAAAAGTCAGAATTTTGAGAACAAATTCAATATTTTGAGATTTTTGAGAAAAAGTTAAAAAAAAATAGATTTTGAGAAAAAGTCAGAATTTTGAGATTTTTAGAATTATCATCATCATCATCATCATCATCATCATCATCATCATCATCATCATCATCATCATCATATTAAATCCTGTTTACCTCAGCATGAATTAAGACACATCAGAATCAGAAAACCCAACAGTATTCTGTGTGTGTGTGTGTGTGTGTGTTCCTGCTGTGTGTGTGTGTTCCTTGTGTGTGTGTGTTCCTGCTGTGTGTGTGTGTGTGTGTGTGTGTGTGTGTGTGTGTGTGTGTGTGTGGTGTCAGAGCGCTCTGGCTTCACGGTGCGTCCTGTGGCTGGGTATCTCTCTCCCAGAGACTTCCTGTCTGCTCTGGCCTACAGAGTGTTCAACTGCACTCAGTACGTGAGGCACAGCACCGACCCGCTGTACACCCCCGAGCCGTGAGTACAGCCGATCCGTTCATGAGCTCAGCGGCTCCAGTGTAGATGTGTCAATGAACTGAAGGCTCCTCCAACAGAGCAGCATGAATACATACACAGGACATACAACTAATAAAACAGATGAAACAGTGCAAGAGAGTATTTTGAGATGTGCAAGTAAATACAAATAAAATAGAAATAGTGCCAGAAGAGTCTGTGTACAAGTACATGGAATATGAGATATAGATAATTAGCATAATGCAAACAGATGGATGTTGTTCACAGAGTGCAGGTGTTTGACAGTCTGATGGTCTGTGGGATGAAGCGGTCTCTGAGGCTGGTGGTTTCAGACCTGATGCTGCGGCTCCGTCTGCAGACAGAGCAGTTTGGGGTGATGGGGTCTTTGATAATCCTAATCAGAGCTGCTCAGTGCAAAACGCCCTGGGTCTCCCCTGTGTTAACATGTAGTGTAACATGTTATTATGGATAGTAATAACCATGTTATATGGATTAAGGTTTAATGTAGTTAACATGTTATTATGGATATAAGTTGTTAATATGTAGTTAACATGTTATTATGGATATAAGTTGTTAATATGTAGTTAACATGTTATTATGGATATACGTGTTTAATATGTAGTTAACATGTTATTATGGATATACGTGTTTAATATGTAGTTAACATGTTATTATGGATATACGTGTTTAATATGTAGTTAACATGTTATTATGGGTATACGTGTTTAATATGTAGTTAACATGTTATTATGGATATAAGTGTTTAATATGTAGTTAACATGTTATTATGGGTATACGTGTTTAATATGTAGTTAACATGTTATTATGGATATACGGTTTAATATGTAGTTAACATGTTATTATGGATATACGTGTTTAATATGTAGTTAACATGTTATTATGGGATATACGTGTTTAATATGTAGTTAACATGTTATTATGGATATACGTGTTTAATATGTAGTTAACATGTTATTATGGATATACGTGTTTTAAGTAGTTAAACATGTTATTATGGATATACGTGTTTAATATGTAGTTAACATGTTATTATGGATATACGTGTTTAATATGTAGTTAACATGTCTATTATGATATAGTGTTTAATATGTAGTTAAACATGTTATTATGGGTATAACGTGTTTTAATATGTAGTTAACAGTTATTATAGATATAAGTGTTAATATGTAGTTAACATGTTATTATGGATATACGTGTTTAATATGTAGTTTAACATGTTATTATGGATATACGTGTTTAATATGTAGTTACATGTTATTATGGGATATACGTGTTTAATATGTAGTTAACATGTTATTATCGATATAAGTGTTTAATATGTAGTTAACATGTTATTATGATATACGTGTTTCATATGTACGTTAACATGTTATTATGGCGTAAGGTTTAATATGTAGTTAACATGTTATTATGGATATAAGTGTTTAATATGTAGTTAACATGTTATTATGGATATACGTGTTTAATATGTAGTTAACATGTTATTATGGATATACGTGTTTAATATGTAGTTAACATGTTATTATGGATATACGTGTTTTATAATATGTAGTTAACATGTTATTATGGCGGTATACGTGTTAATATGTACGTTAACATGTTATTTATAGATATAAGTGTTTAATATGTAGTAACATGTTATTTATGGATTATACGTGTTTAATATGTAGTTAACATGTTATTATGGATATACGTGTTTTAATATGTAGTTAACATGTATTATGGATCTACGTTTGTTTTAATATGTAGTTAACATGTTATTATGGATATACGTGTTTTTTAAATATGTAGTTAACATGTTATTATGGATATACGTGTTTAATATGTAGTTAAACATGTTATTATGGATATACGTGTTTTAATATGTAGTTAACATGTTATTATGGATATACGTGTTTAATATGTAGTGTTAACATGTTATTAGGATATACTGTTTTAATATGTAGTTAACATGTTATATGGATATAAGTGTTTAATATGTAGTTAACATGTATTATGATATACGATGTTAATGTAGTTAACATGTTATTATGGATATACGTGTTTAATATGTAGTTAACATTTATGTATTATGGATATATAAGTGTTTGTTGGTTAACATGTAGTTAACATGTTATTATGGATATAAGTGTTAATATTAGTTAACATGTTATTATGGATATACGTTGTTTAATATGTAGTTAACATGTTATTATGGATATACGTGTTTAATATGTAGTTAACATGTTATTATGGATATACGTGTTTAATATGTAGTTAACATGTTATTATGGATATACGTGTTTAATATGTAGTTAACATGTTATTATGGATATACGTGTTTAATATGTAGTTAACATGTTATTATGGATATACGTTGTTTTATATGTAGTTAATATGTTATTATGGATATACGTGTTTTAATATGTAGTTAACATGTTATTATGGTATAACGTGTTTAATATGTAGTTAACATGTTATTATGGATATACCGTGTTTAATATGTAGTTAACATGTTATTATGGATATACGTGTTAATATGTAGTTAACATGTTATTATGGATATAACGTGTTTAATATGTAGTTAACATGTTATTATGGGTATACGTGTTTAATATGTAGTTAACATGTTATTATGGATATACGTGTTTAATATGTAGTTAACATTTATTAGGGATATACGTGTTAATATGTAGTTAACATGTTATTATGGTATACGTGTTTAAATGTAGTTAACATGTTATTATGGATATACGTGTTTAATATGTAGTTAACATGTTATTATGGATATACGTGTTTAATATGTAGTTAACATGTTATTATGGGTATACGTGTTTAATATGTAGTTAACATGTTATTATGGATATACGTTGTTTAATAAAGTTAACATGTTATTATGGATATACGTGTTTAATATGTAGTTAACATGTTATTATGGGTATACGTGTTTAATATGTAGTTAACATGTTATTATGGATATAAGTGTTTAATATGTAGTTAACATGTTATTATGGATATAACGTGTTTAATATGTAGTTAACATGTATTATGGGTATACGTGTGTTTAATATGTAGTGTAACACTGTTATTATGGATATACGTGTTTTAATATGTAGTTAACATGTTATTCATGGATATACGTGTTAATATGTTAAGTTAACTGTTATTATGGATATAAGTTGTTAATATGTAGTTAACATGTATTATGGAATATACGTGGTTTAATATGTAGTTACATGTTAATTATTATGGGATATAAGTTGTTAATATGTAGTTAACATGTTATTATGGGTATACCGTGTTAATATGTAAGTTACATGTTCTATTATGGATATAAGTGTGTTAATATGTAGTTAACATGTTATTATGGGATATACGTGGGTTAAATATGTAGTTAACATGTTATTGATGGTATACGTGTTTATCATCTGTATTAAATGTTATATGGTATATAACGTTGGTAAATGTAGTTACCATGTTATTATGGATATACGTGTTAATATGTAGTTAACATGTTATTATGGGATATACGTGTTTAATATGTAGTTAACATGTTATTGATGGATATACTTGTTTTAATAGGTAGTTAACATGTTATTATGGATATACCGTGTTAATATGTAGTTAACATGTTATTATGGATATACGTGTTTAATATGTAGTTAACATGTTATTATGGATATACGTGTTAATATGTAGTTAACATGTGTATTATGGATAAGTGTTAATATGTAGTTAACATGTTTTGGATATACGTGTTAATATGTAGTTAACATGTTATTATGGATAAGTGTTAATATGTAGTTAACATGTTATTATGGATATAGTTTAATATGTAGTTAACATGTTATTATGGATATACGTGTTTAATATGTAGTTAACATGTTATTTGGATATACGTGTTAATATGTAGTTAACATGTTATTATGGATATACGTTGTAATATGTAGTTAAATGTTATTATGGATATAAGTTGTTAATAGTAGTAACATGTTATTATGGATATACGTGTTTAATATGTAGTTAACATTTTATGGATATACGTGTTTAATATGTAGTTAACAGTTATTATGGATATAGTTTAATATGTAGTTAACATGTTATTATGGATAGAACGTGTTTAAATGATGTAACAGTTATTATGGATATACGTGTTTAATATGTAGTTAAACTGTTATTATGGATATAAGTTGTTTAATATGTAGTTAACATGTTATTATGGATATAAGTTGTTAAATGTAGTTAAACATGTTATTATGTGATAATATCGTGTTTAATATGTAGTTAACATGTTATTATGGATATAAGTTGTTAATATGTAGTTAACATGTTATTATGGATATACGTGTTTAATATGTAGTTAACATGTTATTATGGATATAAGTGTTTAATATGTAGTTAACATGTTATTATGGATATAAGTGTTAACATGTAGTTTAACATGTTATTATGGATATACGTGTTAGTAATATGTAAGTTAACATGTTATTATGGGATATAAGTGTTTAATATGTAGTTAACATGTTATTATGGATATAAGTGTTTAATATGTAGTAACATGTTATTATGTATACGGGTTAATATGTAGTTAACATGTTATTATGGATATACGTGTTTAATATGTAGTTAACATGTTATTATGGGATATAAGTGTTTTAATATGTAGTTAACATGTTATTATGGATATACGTGTTTAATATGTAGTTAACATGTTATTATGGATATAAGTGTTTAACATGTAGTTAACATGTTATTATGGATATAAGTTGTTAACATGTAGTTAACATGTTATTATGGATATAAGTGTTTAATATGTAGTTAACATGTTATTATGGATATACGTGTTTAATATGTAGTTAACATGTTATTATGGATATAAGTGTTTAATATGTAGTTAACATGTTATTATGGATATACGTGTTTAATATGTAGTTAACATGTTATTATGGATATAAGTGTTTAATATGTAGTTAACATGTTATTATGGATATACGTGTTTAATATGTAGTTAACATGTTATTATGGGTATACGTGTTTAATATGTAGTTAACATGTTATTATGGATATAAGTGTTTAATATGTAGTTAACATGTTATTATGGATATACGTGTTTAATATGTAGTTAACATGTTATTATGGATATAAGTGTTTAATATGTAGTTAACATGTTATTATGGATATACGTGTTTAATATGTAGTTAACATGTTATTATGGATATACGTGTTTAATATGTAGTTAACATGTTATTATGGATATAAGTTGTTAACATGTAGTTAACATGTTATTATGGATATACGTGTTTAATATGTAGTTAACATGTTATTATGGATATAAGTTGTTAACATGTAGTTAACATGTTATTATGGATATAAGTTGTTAACATGTAGTTAACATGTTATTATGGATATAAGTGTTTAATATGTAGTTAACATGTTATTACCGCTGCAGCGACACGTGCCACGAGCTGCTGGGTCACGTCCCCCTGCTGGCCGACCCAAAGTTTGCTCAGTTCTCGCAGGAGATCGGCCTGGCATCTCTGGGAGCGTCGGACGAGGACGTCCAGAAGCTGGCCACGGTGAGTCACGTTAATAACCTCCAGGTATGATCACGTGACTCCTGAGGTCACGCAGGTCATTACACTGGTTGGTCCGTTAATGATCCACAGCTTCTCACGAGGGACAGACGCACTCACCACAGCGCTCCCATTGAGAGCCATTAGAGCAATACAATACTGCTTTGGATCATATCAGCTCTACATCTGCAGATTGAACTTTAGAATATGTTCCCACAAGGAGGAGACATGTTCCCATGTTTGCCCATTGGGACACAGACAAGCTACTGAGTTATGTATGTTATTTTATGTAAGGTAACGTTATGTCGTGTTGTGAACAGTGTTATTTCTTCACCATCGAGTTTGGACTCTGCAAACAGGACGGGCAGCTGAGAGCCTACGGAGCCGGGCTGCTGTCATCTATAGGAGAGCTGAGGGTGACACACACACACACACACACACACACACACACACACACACACACACACACACACACACACACACACACACACACACACACACACACACACACACACACACACACACACACACACACACACACACACACACACACACAATAGTATATTAGATTGAGGACGAAACAACATGTTTTCCGTGTGTTTCCCAGCATGCCCTGTCGGGGGCGGCCTGTGTGAGGATGTTCGACCCGAAGACGACCTGCAGACAGGAGTGTCTCATCACCACCTTCCAAGACGTCTACTTCGTGTCCGAGAGCTTCGAGGAGGCCAAGGAGAAGATGAGGTGAAACACACACACACACACAGCGTTACACTGCGACGTGGGGTGAAGTTGTTCTTATGCCAGATAATGCTGTAGCTGGTCCTCTGAAGTCTTCAAAGCCCTGGAGCAGGCGATCTGCTTACTTGTCAAATGACGGGACTTTGACGCTCCACTCGAGGTCAGTCTTGGACGTGCAGTGCCCTCTAGAGGCTGAAATGATAATGACGGGAGTGAAGGAGGACGTCCAGAGACACAGAGCGAGTAAACCGAGGTTTGGAGGAAGTCACCAGACCCTCACCAGGAGACTTGTCCCGTGTGAAACGAGATTATATTTGTCCTGTTTATTGGTCATCGCTATTTTAGCCCAAACCAAGATCTTACTCTAAACCTGAGCGAGTATTTTCCTGTGAAGAATCCTAGAAGAACCTCCACCTGGATCCATCGTCCTCTTCTTCCAAAGACACATGATCCTTTCCAGCATTCGGACTACCTATGTTTTAAATGTATTACCTTTTGAATTGACATCACATCCTCCTCTGTTGCTCTCCCCCAGGTTTCTTCCATTGCTCCCCGTTAACTGTGGGGTCTCTTTGGGGGGTTTCCTTTCACGCTGCGGGGGTCTAAGGACAGCGTGTATTCGATGTAATCTGTCAAGCCCCCTGAGACACTTGTTGGACTAAATCAACTTTGATTGATTGAAGTTCACGAACACTGGAGGAGTAACTTTGACAGATATCATTGGGAGTGTTAAAATGAAGATACGTTGCCCGTGTGACACCAAGAGTCAACGCTGAGTGATTTAAACGCACACTGTAAATAACAACCGTTCTTATCTCCACCCAAACGGTCTGTTTTTATTTGACTTAAAGTTGATTTGACTTAATGTTGATTTGACTTAAGGTTTATGTCACACCTTGTCTCCTCTCTCTCAGGGAGTTTGCGAAGTCGATAAAGCGTCCGTTCTCCGTGTACTACAACCCGTACACGCAGAGCGTCGACCTGCTGAAAGACACGCGCGGCATCGAGGACGTGGTGCAGGACCTGCGCAGCGACCTGAACACCGTCTGCGACGCGCTGGGCAAGATGAACACCTACATGGGCATCTGATTGGTTCAAATCATCACCTGTGTTCATGTGTGGGCTCTGATTGGTTCAAATCATCACCTGTGTTCATGTGTGGGCTCTGATTGGTTCAAATCATCACCTGTGTTCATATGTGGGCTCTGATTGGTTCAAATCATCACCTGTGTTCATGTGTGGGCTCTGATTGGTTCAAATCATCACCTGTGTTCATATGTGGGCTCTGATTGGTTCAAATCATCAGCTAATTACAATAGATTACATTTGTATAGCGCCTTTCAAGGGACCCAAGGCCGCTTTACATGGTGAGCAAACAAACAAACAAAAGGGGAAAATAATAAGGTAAAACTTAAATAAATAAAGTAACAATTAAATAAGTGTGTTTATGTGAGGGCTCTGATTGGTTTACAACATGCCCTGTGTTAATGTCTGGGCTCTGATTGGTTTAAAACATGCCCTGTGTTAATGTCTGGGCTCTGATTGGTTTAAAACATGCCCTGTGTTAATGTCTGAGCTCTGATTGGTTTAAAACATGCCCTGTGTTAATGTCTGAGCTCTGATTGGTTTTAAAACATGCCCTGTGTTAATGTCTGGGCTCTGATTGGTTTAAAACATGCCCTGTGTTAATGTCTGGGCTCTGATTGGTTTAAAACATGCCCTGTGTTAATGTCTGGGCTCTGATTGGTTTAAAACATGCCCTGTGTTAATGTCTGGGCTCTGATTGGTTTAAAACCTCCCTTCCTGTTTCATAAATGTAAGTAAGATGTGCTGTCTAATGGGTCCGATGCTGTGAAGAGTAACACCATCATCTCAAGCTTCATACGTCAGGTGAAGACGCGGTCTGGGCTGCCAGCTGGTGAAGCGCTGGTTACAAAATAAAAGCTGTTTTTGATCCATGATAAATGTTTACCGTGTTGAAGTCAGCAATGTTCCTCATTTGTTTCCGTCTCTCTTTTGACAGATGCTTAAAGAAGTCAGATTCTCTGTCTCTATAATAAATACATGTGGATTTAACCCTGAAACTGTGGGATTGATGATTTATAGTTTCCGTGGTTTCAGCAACGCGCCGACCAACCAGAGCCCCAGATCACCTCAGTGTGTTTCCTGGTTTCTATTACCATTATATTTTCATGTTTCTTACGTAATCCTCCCCACGGGAGGTTCCTCAGACAGACGATCCTCCCCACGGGAGGTTCCTCAGACAGACGATCCTCCCCACGGGAGGTTCCTCAAACAGACGATCCTCCCCACGGGAGGTTCCTCAGACAGACGATCCTCCCCACGGGAGGTTCCTCAGACAGACGATCCTCCCAACGGGAGGTTCCTCAGACAGACGATCCTCCCCACGGGAGGTTCCTCAGACAGACGATCCTACCCACGGGAGGTTCCTCAGACAGACGATCCTCCCACGGGAGGTTCCTCAGACAGACGATCCTCCCAACGGGAGGTTCCTCAGACAGACGATCCTCCCCACGGGAGCTTCCTCAGACAGACGATCCTCCCAACGGGAGGTTCCTCAGACAGACGATCCTCCCCACGGGAGGTTCCTCAGACAGGACGATCCTACCCACGGGAGGTTCCTCAGACAGACGATCCTCCCCACGGGAGGTTCCTCAGACAGACGATCCTCCCCACGGGAGGTTCCTCAGACAGACGATCCTCCCCACGGGAGGTTCCTCAGACAGACGATCCTCCCCACGGGAGCTTCCTCAGACAGACGATCCTCCCCACGGGAGCTTCCTCAGACAGACGATCCTCCCCACGGGAGCTTCCTCAGACAGACGATCCTCCCCACGGGAGGTTCCTCAGACAGACGATCCTCCCCACGGGAGGTTCCTCAGACAGACGATCCTCCCCACGGGAGGTTCCTCAGACAGACGATCCTCCCCACGGGAGGTTCCTCAGACAGACGGCTGCTTTATTGATCCCAAATTGGGAAGTTATTTTGTTGCAGCAGCAAAGTGTACAAGCATTACAATCCTAAAGATGAATTTCCTCCACAAAGCCAATAACAACGATGAAGCTGAGCGTCAGCTATTCCATTATTTTATTAAAACACAAAGAAGAACGGCTCAACACGTTTATCTGTACGTTCAAACATCAACACACACACAGGGAATCAAATGAATATCGCTCATCACACACATCTCATTGTTGTTAAAGGGCAACAGGAGAGAGGAGCAGCTTCAGGTGGGAGGGGGTGTACATTGTTGGAATGATGTTAAAACTGAGTCAAATGAAATGAAAACGTATACAAATAAGAATAACATCACGACTAACATCAAAGTAATAACCCGACTCCAAAGTCCAGCCAGCAGCCCTGAGTCCTGGCGCCTCAGCAGGTCCGAGGTCCAAAAGAAATCAAAAGTTCTCTTTTCCCTGTGGAGGCCTTTGTCTGGTAGTTTGAGCTCCTTTCTACAGCTCATCCTGTTCCACCTTTAGTTTCCTGGTGAGCAATTTACAAAGTACTTCTTTCTGTTAAATCTAATTAAAGCCCATTTCATATATTTCAGTATAACTCAGAGGCAGGATGTAAAGGTCTCTAATGGCTATCCAAACAGAAATCCCAGGAGAAGCCTCGATTTCTAACACATGAAGTTAACTTGTTAACCTAGGTTCAGAAGCATGGCCACGCCTGAACCCCGTCTCTAATCACGGCCAAACTTCCGGCGACTGCTTGTCTCCATTCTCTCAGACAGACAGACAGACCGCGATTCACGCCGTCGTCACGGTTCAAACAAACTTTAAACGCTACTACTAAAACGCTTTAAACTCACCATGGAGCCCGAACTGCTGATCAACCCGCCGGAGTCAGACGAAGATCTCTTCGACATCGGCTATCCACGGCACAGCAGTCGGATCACAGCCAAGCATCCGAACGGAGCCGCTTGCGCTCGGCCGTCAGTGTCCCACACACCAGCCGTCACTTACACTCAAGCTCCCCCAATGAAATACCTCCAACGCCAGATAGATCCCAGGCTCCGTCTCCTTCGCCAGTGAGGGCAAAAGATCGGGGCCACAACAGGCACAGCCAGCACCAATTCCCCCACCACCGACAGCCTGCCTCATGCACAGCTCCCGGCCACTCTGCAGAGTTCGCCTTAGCATTTTCACTTTACCGCGACGTCATCCGCTCAGTCTATCCCACACGCAGAACGGAGTTAGACAAATACCTCTTCATAGAGCTCGACATGGCCTTAAGTTCAGGTTTCTACACCTACCACGTCCACTTCGCTGTCAAGCCGCCGGCCGCATTAAACAATTTAACCAGGGAAAACAATGGGGCGCTCTGGACTCTGAGCTTTACTGCCGCATCTTCGCAGCACGCGCATCCCTTTCTTGCCAATTATGCGGAGCCCCCTCCCACCCGACCTCAGCATGCTCAGTCAGTGCTCCACCACCTCAAACACCTTACTCACTTCCCTCAACATCACGCGATGCCTCGGACTTCAACCGTCTATCACCCGCCACCTCCCATCATCCCTAGTCCCGCAAACAAACGTTCATCAGCCAACGCCCCCGTCTCAAAGGGCGTCGACAGGGTGAATGGTCAGTGTGAGAGGGGGTGTAGTTCTGCTAGCCGTCCACTAGATGCTGCTAACTGACCCTCTAAGGAAACACAGATCAGGGTGAATGGTCAGTGTGAGAGGGGGTGTAGTTCTGCTAGCTGTCCACTAGATGCTGCTAACTGACCCTCTAATGAAACACCAATCAGGGTGAATGGTCAGTGTGAGAGGGGGTGTAGTTGAGCTAGCTGTCCACTAGATGCTGCTGACTGACCCTCTAATGAAACACAGGTCAGGGTGAATGGTCAGTGTGAGAGGGGGTGTAGTTCTGCTAGCTGTCCACTAGATGCTGCTAACTGACCCTCTAATGAAACACCGATCAGGGTGAATGGTCAGTGTGAGAGGGGGTGTAGTTCTGCTAGCTGTCCACTAGATGCTGCTGACTGACCCTCTAATGAAACACAGGTCAGGGTGAATGGTCAGTGTGAGAGGGGGTGTAGTTCAGCTAGCTGTCCACTAGATGCTGCTGACTGACCCTCTAATGAAACACAGATCAGGGTGAATGGTCAGTGTGAGAGGGGGTGTAGTTCTGCTAGCTGTCCACTAGATGCTGCTAACTGACCCTCTAATGAAACACCGATCAGGGGGAAAGGGTCAGTGTGAGAGGGGGGTGTAGTTCTGCTAGCTGTCCACTAGATGCTGCTAACTGACCCTCTAATGAAAACACAGGTCAGGGTGAATGGTCAGTGTGAGAGGTCAGTGTGAGAGGGGGTGTAGTTCTGCTAGCTGTCCACTAGATGCTGCTAACTGACCCTCTAATGAAACACAGATCAGCGTGAGTGGTCAGTGTGAGAGGGGGTGTAGTTCTGCTAGCTGTCCACTAGATGCTGCTAACTGACCCTCTAATGAAACACCAAGTCAGGGTGAATGGTCAGTGTGGAGAGGGGGTGTAGTTCAGCTAGCTGTCCACTAGATGCTGCTGACTGACCCTCTAATGAAACACAGGTCAGGGTGAATGGTCAGTGTGAGAGGGGGTGTAGTTCTGCTAGCTGTCCACTAGATGCTGCTAACTGACCCTCTAATGAAAGACCGATCAGGGTGAATGGTTAGTGTGAGAGGGGGTGTAGTTCTGCTAGCTGTCCACTAGATGCTGCTGACTGACCCTCTAATGAAACACAGGTCAGGGTGAATGGTCAGTGTGAGAGGGGGTGTAGTTCTGCTAGCTGTCCACTAGATGCTGCTAACTGACCCTCTAATGAAACACCGATCAGGGTGAATGGTCAGTGTGAGAGGGGGTGTAGTTCTGCTAGCTGTCCACTAGATGCTGCTGACTGACCCTCTAATGAAACACAGGTCAGGGTGAATGGTCAGTGTGAGAGGGGGTGTAGTTCTGCTAGCTGTCCACTAGATGCTGCTAACTGACCCTCTAATGAAACACAGATCAGGGTGAATGGTCAGTGTGAGAGGGGGTGTAGTTCTGCTAGCTGTCCACTAGATGCTGCTAACTGACCCTCTAATGAAACACAGGTCAGGGTGAATGGTCAGTGTGAGAGGGGGTGTAGTTCTGCTAGCTGTCCACTAGATGCTGCTAACTGACCCTCTAATGAAACACAGGTCAGGGTGAATGGTCAGTGTGAGAGGGGGTGTAGTTCTGCTAGCCGTCCACTAGATGCTGCTAACTGACCCTCTAATGAAACACCGATCAGGGTGAATGGTCAGTGTGAGAGGTCAGTGTGAGAGGGGGTGTAGTTCTGCTAGCTGTCCACTAGATGCTGCTAACTGACCCTCTAATGAAACACAGATCAGGGTGAATGGTCAGTGTGAGAGGGGGTGTAGTTCTGCTAGCCGTCCACTAGATGCTGCTAACTGACCCTCTAATGAAACACAGATCAGGGTGAATGGTCAGTGTGAGAGGGGTGTAGTTCTGCTAGCCTGTCCACTAGATGCTGCTAACTGACCCTCTAATGAAACACAGATCAGGGTGAATGGTCAGTGTGAGAGGGGGTGTAGTTCTGCTAGCTGTCCACTAGATGCTGCTAACTGACCCTCTAATGAAACACAGATCAGCGTGAATGGTCAGTGTGAGAGGGGGTGTAGTTCTGCTAGCTGTCCACTAGATGCTGCTAACTGACCCTCTAATGAAACACAGATCAGGGTGAATGGTCAGTGTGAGAGGGGGTGGGTTAGTTCTGCTAGTGTCCACTAGATGCTGCTAACTGACCCTCTAATGAAACACAGGTCAGGTGAATGGTCAGTGTGAGAGGGGGTGTAGTTCTGCTAGCTGTCCACTAGATGCTGCTAACTGACCCTCTAATGAACACGATCAGGGTGAATGGTCAGTGTGAGAGGGGGTGTAGTTCTGCTAGTGTCCACTAGATGCTGCTAACTGACCCTAATGAAACACAGGTCAGGGTGAATGGTCAGTGTGAGAGGGGGTGTAGTTCTGCTAGCTGTCCACTAGATG